TGCTACAATTTGATGAACCTGACATATACTCATGGAGGTAGTAATTCTAAATACCAACAGAGAGGGAAGGAGTCTTCACATCAAGTATCAGTGCAATCCCATCTGTACACAGGATAGATAGCGATTGGCTACCTAAAATGAGGGGGCGATAAAGGCATGAAGTGACTGGTTTACAAGATTTCAAGAGGGAGTTTAGTTTGAGTATGGGGGGAAAGAAAGAGTTCCCACTGAATAGATTTCATCTTGTCTAGATGGATCTGGTGAAAAGAGATGGGAATAAGATATGTATGATTCAATAGTGAATAATTGTTATCATAACTGACTGCAACTGTCACAATTGTAAAGGTAGAAGTTTTGTAATCAAAACAGGGGAGTTAATCTTACAGCCCAGAAACAGAGGACCCTAGGACCATCAAGGGAGTAGAGCACAAGCAGAATGCGGGACCTTATCCAGCGAAGCAGTGACACCAGAGACGGAGGCAGAGATGGGGACATGGAGAGAGGGATAAGCTGAGGACTCTGGAGTCATGGGACGAAAGGGACTAAGAGTTGGTGGCCAGGAGGCAGACTTCCAGAATGTGCCCTTTGGAGGTATAAATTATTATATACGCATGAGTGTTTTTTGGTGTTTTGTTTTAAAAAAAAAAAAAAATAGGGAAGAGTGTGTAGTGGAAGAAAGAGTTCCCACTGAATAGTTCTCATCTTATCCAGATGGGTCTGGTGAAAAGAGATAGGGATTAAGATTCGTAAGATTCAATAGTAATTGTTATCATGACTAATTGCGACTGTCACAATTGTAAAGGCAGAAGTTTTGTTAACAAAAATGGGGGAGTACTTAATCTTACAGTCCAGAAACAGAGGACCCTAGGACTATCCAGGGAGACGAGCACAAGCAGAATGCGGAACCTTATCCAGAGAAGCAGCAACTCAAGAGACGGAGGCAGAGATGGGGTCATGGAGAGGGGGAGCGGCTGAGGACTCTAGATTCATGGGAAGAGAGGAACTAAGAATTGGTGGCCAGGAAGCAGACTTGCAGAATGTGCCCTTTGGAGGTGTCCATTATTATATATGCTGGGGTGTTTGTTTGTTTTTTGTTTTTTTAATAAAGAGAAATACTGTTAACCGATCACACATGGAGGGGATTATAATCATTGTCATGAAACGATGTGTATGATTTGTTGAAGGTAAAGCTGGTGATCTGTCCTGTAAACTTTCACTCAATCCACCATCAAAACCTTAAAAAAGAAGTGGGGTGGGGGGAGGAGGGGAGGGAAATAGAGGTTAATACTGTTGACTGATGGTACATGGAGAGGATTGTAATCATTGCAATGAAGCAAAAAATGTAAAACTGATAATCTGCCCTATAAACTTTAACTCAATTCACAATAAAAACTTCTTTAAAAAAATTTAAAAAAAAAATTTTTTTTTCTCTCCAAGACCCCAGTGTGCAGTAGCCTCCAATATACAGAAATTGGTGGGTGAGACCTTAAAGTCAGCCTTGAGATTAAGTTCTGAGTGCTAAAATGGAGGTTGTCATTAACATTATTACTCTTCCTCTACATGATTTGAGGCTGTCCGTGAAGAAGCAGCAAAATAACCAGTCTTTCCAAATTCAGCTCTCACTAGACCTGCTCTCCCTACTCTTTCTTTGCACAACCTTTCCAATAAGTTCCTGAAGTAGGATGGTTTCTTCCTGCCTTTGGCAAAGGTCATCCGAAACTAACGTGAGGGAAATACCAAGAGGAGTGCCCAGGGCTTGGAGGAAATACTCACTAATTGACAATGTCTTGAAGTTGATCCTGGTTCCGTTGGTTCCCCCAGCCCTGGTGCTAGCCATGACCTGAACAGTGTAAGGGGTGTTCCGTGTCAGGGGCTTCAGGTCATACTGCAGAATGCTGGAGTCGACTGTCTTAGCTAAAAGCAAAATACAGAAGTCAAATACCACAGCCAAGACCGACTAAAAGCAGTTTTAGTAGCACCAAAATAAGATCATTGGAACCTGGAAAGTCTAGATATCGTATACAAGAACACTTCCATTGAAGTGTTGATAGGCTGTTTAAAATTAGCCTATCAAGATGAATGAAGGACCTAAATTATAAGTGCAAAAAACTACAAAAACCTTAAGGGGAAAAATGAGGATACGTCTTTATGACCTTGAATTTGGCAGTGATTTATCAGGTATGACACCAAAAATGTAAGGAACAAAGAAAAAGTAGGTAATTGAATCTCATCAAAACAAAAAACTTTTGTGCAGCAAAAAGCAGGAACAAAATTTGGTGTGATAAGCCACTGAGATTTCAGGTTTTGTTTGCTACTATAGTGACTTAACAGATCTAGGAATCAAAAATGTAAATGCATCATCTAAAGCAAAATGGGTCATCTGTTTCCCCAGGGACTAGCTGCCTGGTCTGAAGTTTCTTACACTCAAAAAACCCATTACTCTGTTACGGTGGATTCAAATCTGAGTCACGGTGACCCCATGTGCTACAGAGTAGAAGTGTTCCATGGGGTTTTCTTGGCTTGATCATTACAAAAGCAGATCCCCAGGCCTTTCTTCCATGGAGTTGTTGATTGGATTTGAGTCACCAACCTTGAGATTAGTAGTTGAGCACAAACTACATCACTCAGAGACTTTATACCCAAAAGGTCTTGATAAATGTACCTTGGTGGTGCCAATGTCATCTAATATTAACCTGGATCAAGAGATCATTTCACATTTTGTCAATTCAGTTTAAGAGCAACTTTTAAAAGTATTATCTACTCTGTTTTATAGTAGCGTACATTCTTCAGATACATTAGCAAAGGAAGGGCAATTTTACAAGTGCTGTTGTTGTTACATGGCATCAAGTCGGTATCAATCCATAGTGACTCATAATGGGCCTGTATAGAGTTTCCAAGGAGCAGCTGGTGAGTTTGCGTCACCAACTTTTGGTTAGCAGTCTAATGCTTATCCTACAGTACCATACAAGGACTCCAAAATTATAAACAGACATTATCAATTCTATATCATAACTCAGTTACAATGATCTTCATCATTAAGTATGTAACTAGACTCTAGTCTTGCACGGAATCCAAGTTTGATACCACAAGAACCATGATTTCCAGCCAGAGAATAAACCTAGGACAGTCTTTATGAGTCTGTCTTCCTGAAAGCAGAGCCCATCATCTGGAAATCCATATCTGAACAGATTTGGAAAGAACTTGCTTCCTCCCAACCATAGCAGCCACCTCTATGGCAAGTCTATTCACAGCATCTATCTAGGATTTTTGTGCTTGTTAGTATGTTTTCATCTGGGCTATGGGTGTACTTACAAAATTCTTCCCCATCTTCAGCTTGATAAAATATGGTGTAGTTGCTGATGAAGCCACTTCTCTGACTCTTTGGAATCTCTTTCCATGTTATCGTGACTGTCTGCATAGCAATGTTTTCTGCCTTGGTCACGGGACCTGCTAATGGAACTTTCAAGGACAGAAAGCTAAATAAACCTCAATCAAACCCCATAGGTCCTTCTTCTACAAAATCTCTTGTGGCCATCCAGATCTAGTCAGACCAAAATCACAGAACTGAAGGTGAGAGGCGATGGCATTGTAGAGACCTGATGAATCCGCTTGGTTAGCAAAACTGTTTTCTGGACTTAGACATTTTGAATGGAAAGGGAAGATGTATCAAAACCAGAGAAAAACTACTTTCTTAAAGATCTCTCACTACAACTTGGCACCCAGCTCTTTTATTCACACCTGTAAAGTGTAGGTATTATCAAAGAGTTGAAAAATATGATTCCATGTACTGTTTTGAAAGACAGGAGAGATTTTCCAATGTCGAATGAAAAGGTGCATTTAGAAGATGTTAACTTCAGAATCAGCACTAGACTGCGAACCACATGGTTGGTAGTTCAAACCCATCAGCTGCTCCTCGGAACCCTATACAGGGTCGTTATGAGTCAGAACCAACGACGGCACTTAACAGCAACAGCAACTTCCAAAAAGATAAAGTCTGAGCAGCTCCCCAGTAAAGCCCTTGTTTATTGCTACACAATTACAAGTAATTTTCTAACTTGCTTAATTTAAACTCTGCAGGGCTTCTAAAATGTGTTATAGTTAAGTGCCACTGGGTTCCTTCAAATCCATAGTGACCCTGTATGGAGTTTCCAAGGAACAAACTGGTGAGTTTGAACTTCTGGCCTTGTGTTTCAAACCGACCTTGTGGTCCAGTGCTTTATCCCACAACAAGATAAACTGGTCTTAATTAACTATTATTTCTGGTTAGAGCTCTACTCATTTTTACACTAAGTTTCAGTGGCGCTTTTGGCAAGTTATTTCACCTCGCTGGGCCTCAATGGCCCCATTTAGGAAATCTGGGGATTGGTCTTGATTTCTAGTGCCTATTCTGGTATTGAAATTTAGTGAATCTAAGCTGCCCACCGCTGTGTCAAATACATATAGTGTAGTGTGAGCTGAAAGTGCAGCAGGAATGGGCCCCATGGGAACATGAATGAGCTCTAGTGAACCAAAGCCATATTCAAATGTTGGGCAAACCCAATGTTTCCCTTTCCCTCACAGATCCCTGTCCACACATACCTCCTTCTTTGACATAAGCCTGGACAGAGTAAGGCTCACCCACTAGATCTTGAAATAGCGGATACACAGAGATGTTGTAGCACAAGAAAGGCTCCAATTTATCTGTAAAGAGAGGGACAAGAGCACGTAAGTGCCGAGCATGGCACAGTGGAAGGAACTCTCCAGTGAGAATTATGGCTCTTAAATTAAGTAAAATACCCTATTTCTCTACAGCTTCCATATCTGCAAAATAAGGGGGTAGGTTGGATGCTCTCTAATGCCTATTCCATATACAGGCATATTTCATTTTATTGCACTTCACAGATATAGTGTTACTTACAAAGTGAAGGTTTCTGGCAACTCTGTGTAAAGCAAGTCCATCAATGCCATGTTTTCAATAGCATGTGTTCACTTTCTGTGTCATTTTGGTAATTCTCACACTATTTCAAACTTTCACATAATGCTACTGCACACTTAATTAGACTACAATATAGTGAAAACAGAACTTTCGTATGCATTGGGAAACAAAAAATGCATGTGACTAGCTTTATTGTGACACTCACCTCACTGCAGTGGTATGGAATGGAACCAAACAACACCTCTAGGGTATGCCTGTAAAGAAACTCCTAAAGAATCTACATGCACCAATAATAAAAATAATAATAATAATAAACTATTAGAATTAATAAATGAATTCAGCAAAATTACAGGATATAAGAAAAATAAACACAGAAAAATCAGTTATATTTCTATACAATCTCAGAATGAAAATAAGACAATGCTATTTATAATAGTATCAGAAAGAAAAACATCAATTCTAAAACTTTCTAATTAATTCTTAGATCTAAATCTTGTACCTCCCTGCCAGAATGACAGCCATCAATGGAGGGGGAAATCAGAGACCCACATCCTTATCCACCATTGATTTCGAGGGTGCTGGAGAGTAAAGCTCAATCTTCTGTCAACAGCACACCACACTTGAGAACTCAGCATAGTTTCGGCTCTCTGGTCTTCGTGCATCTCTGTAGGAATATACTTATACACAGAATTCCCATTGCCATCGAGTTGACTGTGACTCAGAGTGATACTAAAGGGAGAGTAGAATTGTCCCCATAGGGTTTGGTGGTGGTGGTGTGCCACCGAGTCAGTTCCAACTCATTCTGACCCTGGGAGGGCTTGTGAGGCTGTAGATCTTTACAGGAGCAGAAAGCCTCTTCAGTCTCCTGCAAAATGATTGGTAGATTCAAACTATTGACCTTGCGGTTAGCAGCCCAGCTTGTAATCCACTATGCTACCAGGGCTCCTTCCCCCATAGGGTTTACAAAGCTATAAATCTATATGGAAGCAGACAACCACAGCTTCCTCCCTCGGAGCAGCTAGTGGGTTTGAACTACCAACCATTTAGTTAGCTGCCGAGTGCTTTAACCAATGAGGCATCAGGGCCCCTTTACTTATTAACATAGATGCTATTAGGTATTAAGTGGTTGGACTGACATGATAGAAATGGCAACCATGTTTCTGAAAGAGACCCTCTTTACACTGGGGAAAGGGTCTAGCTCTTAAATGGTAGCCCAAATAGAAGGGAATGTTGTAGGCAGAGGACAGACAAGCTCTGGTTTGACCCACAGAACAAGTAAGCTATATGTCTGGGAAGGATTCTCTGATGACGATGGGTATTCAAATAGTGTTTTCCTCCAGGAGACAGGCTGTGATAGAGAAAGTAAGGAAGTCAGTCACGGAGCTTGTAAAATGATACTGAGTCCTTGGGGTTGTTGTTGTTAAATACTGGGGAGTCAGTTCTGACTCATAGCAACCCTGTATAGGGTTTCCAAGGAGTGGCTGCTGAGCTTGAACCGCCAACCTTGCAATTTAAACTGACCTTGCAGTCCAGCGCATTAACCCGTAGCACCAAAATGTCTATGAAAGATGGGGGGGAAAGCAGTCAATTACAGAAATCTGTGTTATGTAAGGGACATTTCTTGTATTTCTATGTTAAATTTTCTCACATTGTCATAGTGGTATTCAGGAAGAGCTACCTGTACTTTTGGTCATAGTCAGAGATTTATCAAAGGTACCTGGGCATGCCAGGATCATCTTGTCTGCAGTGGAGATGTTTATGCCAGTCCTTGTCACCCAACTGCCACTTTACAAAATAAAGACACTCCCATCCCGAATTGGACTATAATGCACTCCCACCAGGCAGTTTAAAGTGTGGGTGTCAGAAAGCCTCCTCTAATCAAGGCACTACAAACCTGCAAGGAGACCTGGTGAAATAGTGGTTAAGCACTCAGCTGCTAACCCAAAGCGCTGCCATTTGTAAAGCTTTACAGCCTTGGAGACCCTGTGCTATCAGGTTGCTATGAGTCCGATTAGACTGGATGACAAGGGAGTTGGGTTTTGGATAAACCTGCAAGGAGGTCTTCCTTTCCTTGTGTTATATGTATTTTCACTAGAGGCAGACCCATGGGGCATGTATTATAGAATGAAACGTCAGTAATGATGAAAGTTTTTTTAATGATCCTCCCACTTCCATCCTTGACTACTGTCAATCAACCCATCATTCCTGGAGGAGAGTTCCAGAAATCTACTGCCAAGAAAGATGAAAATATCTTGTTTGCACTCTCTCTCATTATTATTATTATTACTTACAATATTCCTAGACTCTTTAAAAAGTATATTTCTGTGAAGACATTTAAGAGCATCAAGCAGGATATGGAAAGCTCTTGCAAGTGAATATTGCTAAGTGCAAAGCTTCCAGAACACATGAAGTGGATAGATCATGAAGTGTCATCTGATGCTATAGGCTATGCACTAGCCTGCTAACCGCAACAGGGGCTGTTCAAGTCATTCCTCAGAATCCCTATGAGTTGGAACCAACTCGGCAGCACTTTATAATAACCCACTTCTGCCATCTGTCTCAGAGAAAGTTCAGAGCACTAAGCGACAGTGTTATAACGAAGCTCCATCTAGCTCCTTCTACTTAGGTGAACAAGATTTTTTACCACATACATTTATAAAAATGAAAAATGAAAATAAAGTGAATGCTGAACCCTACCTGTAAATTATCCGTGGCTTAAAAAAAGGCAAAAACACCTCCTATTTCACTAGAAAGTGTATTTCCAACAAAATGCTACTTTGTGTCTGTAAGCATCTGTATTCCAATTTTTAAAATCTTCATTTTGTTTTCACCAACTGTATGACATTAAAAAAATTGTAATGCCAATGCAATCTAGCAAAAAAGCTTTTCAGCAGTACAGGCTTGGAGCCACAAGACATTTTTAAACATTGGATTTCAATGCATATCCAAATTTTTATTGGAGAGAAATATGATAGAGTTATCAACATAAATCTTCCAAGCATAAAATATGATAAAATACTATGGGGAATGAAATAGAAATATGAGTTCAAGGAGCCAAAATAAAAATAAAAATTGTCTTAATTTTTAACAGATTTATTTTATGAATAGTTGTTGTTGTTGTTAAGTGCCGTCGAGTCGGTTCCGACCCATATGAATAGTGGTAGCTATCAAATCTCCATGGTACTCAGATTCCATATGATATATTTTTTAAAGTGTTATAACAGTACTATTTTAAAATTTTTTATCCTTTGTAGGATTTAACTTTAAGATTAAAATATTTTCAGGACAAATTAAAAACTGTGGGGAAATACATAGTTCTTCAAAAGAGGGAATGTAAGCCAGTGTTGGGCACAGCAGGTAAGAAATCAGATTCTGGACTCAGACAAACCTGCCACCCTGCCACCCACTGATATGCTCTGGTGTAAGAAAGATCCTTTTTAAGCCTCAGCTTCTTCATCTGTAAAATGGGGATAATAACAGCCCTGACGTCAAGGGTTGAGGTGAAAATGAATTGAGGTAAGCCTAGTCTTGCACAGAGTCAACACTCGGTACATGTCATGATGACTGGTACCATTCCAACCGAACCAGCTGAACTAACAGGACCACTGGGAGAAACGTGTGTCCATGTAGGAGCATCGTGATAAAGAGGCCCAGCAATATGTGGAGGGAGAGGAGCAGCCTGGGGCCTCTTGCTGAGCTCTAGTCCACTCAGAGAGTCACTTTTTAGACTAATTGGGGAGTCTAGAATTTGCTGGTTATTAAGAAAGGTGATTTTCTCTTTATCTCTCACTTTTATTTCAACTCCATTGGGACTGACACTGAAGCATTCCCTACTCTGTCCTTACTCACAGAGGCTTTTTCCTCCCCTAGCCCACGACCTGACTGTAGTAGATATACAGGCACAACTGATGTACAGATTTCTTCAAACACCAGATTGAAAAAAACAAAAGGCACTCCCAAGCTTCCTTAGAATTTCAGTGACTTGCAAACATGCCCACATATTCCTGTCCCAGCCTTGCTGGGAAATACCACCAAGTGGGTTACTTCACTGAGCTGTTAACACCAGCCTGTCAAGGGCTATTAATCACATTTAAAGTTTTGAAGCCAAAGTTAAAGATTAAAAACTGAAGAGAATGAAACTGAATCCTGCAGAGAGGGAACTTGAGAGTTCTATACTTGACTACCTTGTGGGATTGTCCAGTTCCTGGCCTGAGACACAAATTCCCAGGATAAGGCAGAGGGCTCTGAGTCCAAATCCGGGAACCACTCAACCATCCATGTGTCCACCAGAGATGCAGAACTTTGCCACTCCACCACCAGCTGGTCCTGAGCGATGAAGGCCTGCATGGCCTCAATGCATGGAAATGCTGAAAGGCAAGAAAGAATTGCTCCACAGCTGCACAACTCATCCCCCAAACCTGCACCCACTCAATGCTCAAAAGTGCAAAGAAGGTCAAAGTTCAGCTTCACTACTGCCCATTGCCGTAGTAAAATTACAGTCAACTGTAATTTTACGGAAGGAGATTATCAGATCTTTTTTCCACAGTGTCGCTGGGGAAATTTGAGCCACCCACATTTTGGTTATTAGCCAAGCACAAGCTGTTTGTACCACCAAATAACTTTTCTTCCTTGTAGACTCACCTGATGGGCCTGTTTTCATTCCCCTTTTTGCATCCCTTCTCCTTAGCCCTCATCTGTGCTTAAGTACCTTTTAAATCTTTCTTTAGGGGTCACTGGTGACACAGTAGTTAAAGTGCTTGACTATCAACCAAAAGGTCAATGGTTTGAACCTACTCCATGGGGAAACGATGGAGCAGTCTGGTTTCATAAAGATGTATAGCCCTAGGAACCCTAGGGAGTAGTTTTATTCTGTCTTATGGGGTCACTACAAATTCATAGTCAACTTAACGGCAGTAGGATTCGATTTGTTGTTGTTGTTGTTGTTGTTGTTGTTGTTTGTAATCTTTCTTTACCTACCAAAATGTTACCAGCAACTGCTTGGCTGAGGATGTGGAAGGCGGTGACCTTAAAAATCATACCAGGGAGATGACTTCAAATCTCAACAGTCCAGACTGGTCCTATACAAACTAGATATGGATTTCTGTTCTCAAACCCATAAAAACTGTGTTTGCATCAGAAAGATACAAAAACACCATTCAAGTCACTTTAATGTGGACTTATACGTAAATCTCAACAGTTTCTCCAGGTCTGGCAGAAAACTCATCTCTGGAAACAGACCACAAGGACTCCTTTAATACAGAAGTTGAGCTAGTGGCTTCAGATCCAGTCTGGGATTTAATTAGTACCAGAGAGATCTATTCTTTTACATCTTCTGATTACACAGATGAGAGAAAACCATCTGGAGCAACGGGGCCATCACTGGTGGGAGAAGTGAGGTAGAACCAGAGGGCATGAAGTGGGTGAGGTTCAAGAAATCAGTGTCAATTTCTCAGGTCCATCTCTGCTCACTACCCACAGTACAACCAGCCTTCAAAATAGAAATTCACATGAAGTATGTTTAAATGAGCATCGGTGACAGTCCTGGATGGTGACAGAAGAGGAGACCTACCAATCAATCAACCAGTTGCCAAGGAGTCAGATTCCAGCCCATGGTAACCCCATGTGTTTTAGAGTAGAACTGTACTCCATTAGGTTTTCAGTGGCTGTTATATTTCAGAAGTTGACTGCCAGACCTTTCATCCAAGACACCTCTGGGTGTATTTGAGCCTCCAGTCTTTCATTTAGTAGCTGAATGCTTAACCATTTACACCATACAGGATGCAAAAGAAGAGAGTGTACTCCTCAAATAAACAAAAAGCTCTTGCAGCTGGAGTCCTGGGCCAAGTGACAGAGTTTATGGTAGAGGCTATCTGTGGTAAGTCTTACTCTTTCTAAGCAATAGGTCTCAGTAGGCTGCATGTATATATACAACTCTCTGTTCCTTTAAGTCACAGTTTATACTTCTTTTCCCCAAACTAAGTTTTCATGAGACATGCCAGCTACTAGTCCTAGAAAAAAAGAGTAATTGAGTGAATTTTTTAGCCCTCCCCCCACCCCATCACCACCAAAGTATGTATTAACTTGGCTGGGCCGTGGTTCTCAGAGATTTGGCAGTTATATAATGATGCAATCACTGTTGTGATCAGCCAATCAGTTCTAAGAGGATTAGGGTGGGAAGCAACACTCAGTTGACAGCTCTTATCTGATGTAAGGTTAGTTCCCTGGGGTATGGCCTGCTAATGCAGGCAACTTTTGTCTTACAAGAAGTAAAAGGGGAGAGAAGTGAGTAGGGATCAGAGGAATGTAACTACCACCAGGAAAAAAAGCCAGAAGCAGAGTGTGTCCTTTGGATCCAGGGCCCCTGTACTGAGAACCTCCTAGAATCAGGCAAAAGTGATGCCAAGACACATGGAGATCTTTAAGGGATGCCAGGCCCACAGTTGAAAGATGCAAAGACCTTCCTCCAGAGCTGACAGAGATAGAAAGCCTTCCTCTTGAGTAGGCATCCTAAATGTGGATGTCTAGCTTTCTAAACGGTGAGAGAATAGCATTCTGTGTCTGTTATTGTAGCACTAGATAACTAAGACAAAAGACTAGGTAATTTGTCAACCTGGAAAAAATTCTGAGGAAAGGCAACTTAGGCATGAAGGAAATGTGAAGCTGAGTTGGGGCAGGGTCCAGACAAGAGACACAAGAGCCCAGAAATGAATCCCAGCTAACTCCTAGTTCTCCTACTTCTCCCTCTTGCCTGCTCTGCTCACAACCTCTATGAATTCTCAGTTGCAGTTCCAGTTCAGGCTGAAAGTCATTGCTTTAGCCCTCGGAACCACCTAACCTCTTACCGAACACAACATTGGTATTATACCTTGGTTCTGTCAGAGTCCTTCTTGCTGTTTTTGTGGTTTGACAGAACCTTGAGATGTCTTTTACACTCCAGAGTCCCCCGGCAGGCTCAGGCTGAAACCACCTTCTACAGGATGTTTAGCTCAGACCACACTTTTGGCTCAGTTTCTTCTCCTTCCTTGATTTCTTCCCTCCTTCACTTTCTGGTCCCCCTGGAGGGACTTTCTTAGTAAATCATTACCACACAAATCCTGACATGAAGATTGGAGCAAGTGTCAGTTCCGAGCTCCACACTCTGTTTTACCAATATTGAACTGCAAGGAATAGAAATGGGAGTAGAGGGTCACATGCCCTCAATGGACTTCGGAAAACAAGCCAAGACTCTGGTTTTCAGGGATATGGAAAATGCTCCATGAAGTCATGCATCAACCTTAAAGGGTTGGGCAACAGTAAGAGTGATGAGAGATAAGTTTCCAAATTATCTTTCTACTGAATATAAAATACTGCCGAATCATTCAATAGGAACTTTTTGAGTAATTACTCTAAATACAATACCTCCCAGGTGCAGTAAGAAATACAGAAGATAGAAGAGACTTTGTGGGAGAAGGAAGAGGGGTTTTGACTGTGAACAACTGCCATTTCTTTTGATTTATGGGAGGCGGCCACTAGGAAATTGATCACATAGCTTTCAGATGCTGGTGGTAGCTTACCTTTGCCAGATCTACCAGGCCAACTACTATGCCAACTCAATCCTAACCTCCTGCTCAGTGGCTGTGCTATTCTGGGTCTTCCTAAGACCTCTTCACAGTTGCCTGATGATCCTAAAATCCAATATGTTCAGGTATAGGGAATCTAAAGGATGATCTCCACCAATCCCTCATTTGACACTTGGAAAATGGAGGCCCACAGGGTTAAATAACCAAATGAGTGTGACATAGCATCTGTGACCAGAATTCTAAGTCATTTGGATAACACAAAGTCCAACATTCTGGATAAAGTATTTGGTTCTGTCGAGGATAAATAGGGTCACTATGAATCAGAACCAGCTGGATGGCATATAACTATAACAACAAAAATCAGGAAAGGTACACATGAGGGTTGTATCCTTTTCACTATAATTATTCAATCTGTATGCTGAACCAATAATTCAGGAAGCTAGATGATATAAAGAAAAATGTGGCATCAGGATTGAAGGAAGACTCATTAACAACTCATGATATGTAGATGACACAGTCTTGCTTGCTGGAAATGAAGCCCTTACTGATAAAGATCAAAGACTACAGCCTTCAGTAAGGATTACAACACAGTGTAAAGAAAACTAGAATCTTCACAACTGAACCAATAAACAATACCAGCTAAATGGAGGAAAGTTTGAAGTTGTCAAAAATTTAATTTTATTTGGATCCACCATAATCAATGCTGATGGAAGCAGCGTCAAGAAATCAAATGATGTAGTGCATTTTACAAGTCTGCTGCAAAAGACCTTTCCAAAGTGTTAAAGAGCAAAGACAACACTGAGAACTAAAGTGTGCCTGACCCAAGTCCTGGTATTTTCAATCACCTCATATGTGTGTAAGAACTGGACAATGAATAAGGAAGATCAGAGCAGAATTGAGGAACCTGAATTATGGTGCTGACAAAGAATATTGAAAGTACAATGCCCTCCAGAAGAATAAGCAAAGCTGTCTTGCAGAAAGGATGGTCCTTAGAAGCAAGGATAGTGAGACTTCTATTCACATACTTTGGACATATTATCAGGAAGGACCAGTCCCTGGAAAAGGACATCATGCTTGGTAATACAGAGTAAGACACCCAATGAGATAGATTGACATGGTGACACCACAATGGGTTAAAAACCTAACAGATAATTGTGAGGATGGCACAGACCAGGCACATAGGGTCATTATGAGTCAGAACCAACTCAAGGGCACCTAACAATAACAACAACAACAACTAGACAAAAACCACTGCTCTCATGGAACTTATTCCCTATTGAGGATAAGATAGATAATCAAATAATTGAGAAATTCTATATAGAATGAAGGATAGTAATAAGTTTTATAGAGAAAAATAAAGTAAGGGAGAGGAAACCTATTTCCTAAAATTCTTGGAATAAGAATCTAAGAAGGTATTTTATTCCAAAATAGGGTATAAAATATGATTTTGTCTGAGAACAGTAAAATGTTGAAAGCTACTTAATCAAAAGTGCAGTGAGCCAATTTGTTGGCAAGTATAAACATCAGGGTTTTTTCTCACTTGGTGGGTGTATGGAAAGAGAAAACGGGAAGAAAATAGCAGGATGAAATTTAAGCTAAAGCTAGAGGCATGGCCCATAACCATCCGTAGGGGGAGATTTCAAAAGAAAGGTTGCAGTCACTAAGGACAACTTTGACAGATCTGAAAGATTTTTATATGACTTGACCCAAATTCACATTCAGTAAGACCAAAACAAATAAAAACTGCACGTAAAACTACTAAGTTTATGACTTTGTATTGCATGGTTTATGAGATCTTTTGACTGGTAACACAGACTTTGTTCCAAAAGAATTTTACTTCAAGGGGTTCGTTAATTAACAACACTGGACTTAGAGACCAGAGGATTCTGCTGTCTCTGTCCCAGCCACCACCTGAAAAGTCCCCATTCCATTTCTACCCAGGAGAAACAAATATCCTTGAAGGAATAGGGATTGCTCCTTCCCTGACTGGATTGGGCCAGGCATTTAAATAAGAAATTCACATTCTACTTACGCTTTTCATGAGCAGAAGGAATCCTCAGGGTAGCCTCTGGAGATTTCCCGAAAGAATTGTAAGACACAACAGACACCCAATAGGTCTCACTTCCCAGATACAGTTCAAGTTGCTCATTAGTTGTGTTCATTGTCTCTGTGAGGTAAGTGCTGTTTTCTGGAAAGTACCATATGGTGTAGCCTATTGCTTTTCCCAATATGGGGCCTCTTCTTGCCTCCTGAACCCAAAGGAAAAAAAGTTTATTACCAACAACAAAAGAAAAAACAAAACAAAACATTAAGACAAAGAAAAAAATCATGATGGTGGTGGGTATGGGGGTGATATTAACTACTAGGAGTTAAACCCCACCCCGGAAATTTGCCTCCAGGGATGAATGAAACACCCTTCTACACTGCATTGTTAAATCTGAGTGCCAGAAGGACTTTAAAAAAATTTTTTTAAAGGTTTTTATTGTGGATTGAGTAAAAGTTTACCGGGCAGATCATCACTTTTACATTCAACAAATCATATACCTCCTTGTTTCATTACAATGACTAGAATCCCCTCCATGTACCATCAGTTAACAATATTTCTCACTATTCACTTCAGCTTTTTTTCTTTTTCTTTTAAACCACTCAGGCATATATAATAATTTATATCTCCAAAGGGTGCATTCTGCAAGTCTGCCTTCTGGCCACCAGCTCTTAGTCCCTCTCTTCCCATGAATCTAGAGTCCTCAGCCACTCCCCTTCTCAATGACCCCATCTCTGCCTCCTTCTCTGGCTTCCCTGTTTATCTGGATAAGGTCCCGCATTCTGCTTGTGCTCTTCTCCCTTGATGGTCCTAGAGTCCTCTGTTTCTGGACTGTAAGACTAACCACTCCCCTGTTTTTGTTACAAAACTTCTACCTTTACAATTGTGACAGTCACAATTAATCATGATAACAATTATTCACTATTGAATCATACGAATCTTATCCTCCATCTCTTTTCACCAGACCCATCTAGACAAGATGACAGCTGTTCAATGGGGACTCTTTCTTTGCCCCCATTCTCTTAAACTTAACTCACTCTTGAAACCTTATAAGCCAGTCACTTCATGCCTTTATCGCCCCCTCATTTTAGCCAGTATCTAAGTTGCCTGTCCCTCTCTACCCTGTGATAGCATTGATAATTGATGTGAAGACTCCTTCCCTCTCTGTTGGTATTTAGAGTTACTAGCTCTGGTAGCTTAGTGGTTATGAATCGGGCTGCAAACTGCAAGGTCAGCAGTTCGAAACTACCAGCTGCTCCACGGGAGAAAGATGAGGCTTTCTGCTCCCATAAAGATTTA